CACACAAGACCCAGCCAAGTCCGTACCTTGGGAGGGAACCAAATGGGACTTCCTCCAGTTCATCAAGAACCCGAACCCGGCAAGCTGGGATAGAACCAAATTCCTGGCGAGCAAACACTCGGACTGGCTGGGAGCCCAGACCAGCCAGTTGTCGAGGTAAGCCAGAACCCAAATGTCTAACAGATGCCACCCAGGATCACCAAGACCCGGGTAAGGCATGTGAACATGCGAGGTGCCAGATTTAAGCTGAAAGGAAAGCAACGAAAACGGTAAGCCTGTTGCCCCATGACAAAACCAAGCCAGTCCCTGAACCCCGGATGAATCGGGACGTCCCAATATGCATCCTGGAGGTCCAGACACACCACCCAAGTGCCCGGCTCCAAAAGCAGCCGGACCTGGGACAGAGTGGTCATCCGAAAGGAGGGACAAAAGACCCAGGGGTTCAGACGGGACAAGTCCAGAATGAACCCCAGGTACACACAGTCCCGTTTCAGAACAGGAAACAGGCAGGAAACCCATCTGAGAGATGCCATCGTTTCGACCACGCCTAAGCAAACCCACTCCAAGATGACCTGACAATGCAGGAGAAGGCCAGCCCCGAACCTCCCAAAGGAGGAGGAGGAGCCACCCAACGCAACCCCAGGCTAGAGGAAACCAGAGATGCCCACAAATTGTGAGACCAGGCAAGAGCAAACAGCATGAGCCTCCCCCTCCCAACGCCCCGTCAATGGAGCGAACCGCGAAAAAGCCGACAACCCTTATGAAAATGAAAGCCCGACCGACACTCAGAGCGATCTCTGCGGCAATCAGATGCTGACGACTCTGTAGGAGGGGCCGGCCCCAAATCTGGCACAACTGGCTTACGACGCCCGCAGAAACCCCAAGCCCTGGCACAACCCTTCCAGGCAGGACCACCATGACCTCGTCCCCTCACCAGAGAACCAATAAGTCCGACATAGGCCAGCAAGAAGATGAAGTCACCTGCATAAAATGCACCACCAAGACTGAAATCAAATGGCCACGGGCACGCAAATCCTTGGCCACCAGAGATACTGAACGGGAGGGAACCTGCAAGTGAAGCTGCACCTGACTAATATCACAAGGAAGCATGGGGGCAAAAGAGCACGCATTGAGGTGCTCAAACTCGCACCCCCCCCCCCCCCCAGTAAACCTGAACGACTGTAGTCATCTCCCATCACTCAAGTGTGCGGGTCTGACAGAATGCATGCCACGCCCCTAATGAAAAGAATGGGCAGTCTGCCAGCCAGGAAGACTCCGGCACCTCGTAACGCACCCAGCAAGGAAAAGAGGCGCAAAGTCAAAGAAGAAGGATCCATTATCGAGGCATAATCCGCGTCTCGCAGGAGGTTAAGCCACAAGGGCCTCCCGCACCTCCCTCGGCGGGATGTGGGAGGCCAAAACCTCTGAAAGGAGCGAAAGGAGGGAACTGAGGAACCTGGAACCAAACCAGGAGAGGAGTCAAACTCTCATCAAACTCATACAGGGGGGGGGGGGGGATAGGAAAACCCCGCCCCCTGTGACAACAAGCCCTGCACCGAGGGTACCAACATCCAAGTGGTGTCAAACGGAACCCAAGGCCCCCCCCCCCCCCAAAGTCAACTCATCCCCAGCCCCGGAATCCTCCATGTCAGGAACTGGGGCCGAGCCCCGTCCTCCAAACCCTCTACCTCTGGAGAAAAGGCAGAGTCCACTGGAAAAGCAGAGATGAAGAGGGGGGCCAAAGGCAACGGCAGGAGGAACTGGCTCGAATGCCTCTGCCGCCAATCTAGAAGGGGCAGTCCTTGAAGCCGCTCGAGTCTCACCACCAAGAAAACCATGCCCTGACTTGGTGGCGAGTCCTGCTCACCCCCCTCCTGGGGGGAGGGGGGGAGCAGGATGAAACACAGCAGGAGAAGGACAATACCAAAGTCGAGGCGACTAAAGCCCCCAAGTCCAGGTCTCAATAACCAAAGCATGGCAGCTGCGGGGCATCCGGAGAGGCAACCAACCTAAACCGTGTATGCAACGCGGAAGCTGCCTGCACCCGAATATCAACATCAGTGGACTGGGCAAATTGGAGTACAGGGAATACCTCTCGCAGGACTCCAGGTCAAAGGTGTCACTGACCCCACAGGCAGCATGGCGGAGACAAAGATGGTGAGTGTCACCCTGAGACAAGGGGAGAGAGCAACTTTCGAACTCGCTCGAAATGAGGTGGGACTCAAGAGGTCTTTTCCATTGGACCAATGAGCCCCAAAGGGGGTTCCTAGGGCCCTTAGGCTGACTGCTAAGGGAAGTCCAGGCAAGGTACTGCTAACCAGTTATCCCAGAGCTACACCAAGCAAACAAACTAAAAGCTGAACTTCTGCGACGTGTGTAAGCACGGGACCTAGCGAAGGGCCACCTAAATCATACAAGTGGTCCTACAGACACAACATTGTTGTTGTTAAAGATTCGCTACCTGGAACAAAGTTCCAAGTAGCACGGGCTATGGTGAGCCCGTAGTCAGACACAACAGGCAGACTCTCAACAGACAAAAAATGCACAGTACCTTGCGCCCCAGCCAGCAACGATACTACCTCCTACCCAAGGCCAAACAGAAGTAAGAATCACCAGCTGAACCCCAAGGGCAGGCAATTACCGAACAGCAACTGAACCACACAGAGATAGCCTTTCCCAAACGGGTCATGGAAGTTAATCAAAGCTGCAGAGGCAGCACTTACAGGGCACCTAGGGACCATGGCCCTAGGTTCATGTAGCCCAAGTACTCGTGTTACTTCTGGCTCGCACACCACCAACACAGAAAAACACCACCACTATGCAGCACTGCTCAAAGAATGGAGCCAGAGTCGCACGATGGTCGCCAACACAACAGCGAGCGTGTCATTGGTATCTGCCCTCGTCACGGCCATTGTGGATGTGTTCATTTGATGCATCATGCTATTGTGATTTCTGTGTGTAATTTGTTCAACAGTCTCATAAACTGAGGATGAGTAGCCGGCGAGGAGGTCTGGGACCCCCCCTTCCCCCTCCCAGGGAGGAGGGAGTTGCGCAGATAACGGGGCGGTGGCTGTGGTGACATATTGCTTGTGTGCTTGTTTTCAATTGGGGAGTTGTTTACTAGTTTGGCTTTAGGTTTGCAATTTTTAACCAGCTGTAGTTTGTTTTGGAATTCCTATCTTTCTGGGTGCCTGACCTGGTAGATGGCAGACATAGACTGCTTCCAATTACAAAGGGGGGGGGGTCTATAGGCCATTGCTCCTTGTGCCTCATCTGAGGGGGCCAGGTTCTGGCGCTGGGCCTTGGTAGGCCTAGAACTCCATCGATTGACCATTGCCACGGTCTAGTATATGCACATCAGCCTGATATAGCTCCGGGGAACCGAAGAGGCTCTTCACAGAAAACTAGGGTTGAGGGAAATGAAACACCATTTTTCTGGGTTGAGCCCAGGAGGCTCCCTGAAACTAATGGACAGATATTTGTTATATTAGTATAGAGCATCAGTTACTGGAATTCTTGCCTACTAGAAACCATGAGTCAGAACTGGTTCCCTCAGAGAGGCACAGGGAGCAACGACCCATGAACACTCCACTTTTTGAGAGTATAGTTATGTCTGCCATCAACTAGGGGGTATCACCCAGAAAGGTAGGCTAACCATTACAAACCCCAACTTGTAAACATTGCAACCCAAGACTGAACAGAGCCCAAGAACTCCCCCATGAGGAATCAACAAACAAGCAAATGTTCACTCAACTAGTGTGCCAACATGTTACCGACAGAAGCTAGGCAATCCTCTTCCAGGAATAAAAAGAAAACTTGAAAAAACCTTGAAAAATACACCATAAACAACCGCAGGTCAGAGAGAGGCACGGCCGCCGCGATTACGCAAGTTAACACCATGCACCACAACCAGCAACAAAAACACTCCCTACCCAGGGTCAGACCCCACGACCCCCGCCAAACCCCAAGGGCGGGGTCAATGACAAGTGACACCAACCTCAACAGGAGTGAAACCCCGAGAGTCCCAAGAAAGAAAACCCTGAACACGCAAGGGCAGTATCTATCATGCACCTAGGGAAGGTAGCCCTAGATGTATTCAGCTCAAATACTCTAGAACACCTGGCCACCGCACCAGACGACACAGCTGGTACAACCACACAGGGCAAAATCCTGGCAGGAGAACGAGGCCAGAGGTAACGTCTGCTCGATATGACATAAGTCGACGAACTGCCAGTGTCAGTGCTCGGGCCGAATGGGCAGGGGCTCCCTCCCTCTCCTTGTTGCTAATAAGCAGGTGTGCTAGTTAAGTGGACATTTGCTTGTTTGTTGTTTGCACATGGGGGTGGGGAGAGTTCTTGGGCTCTGTTCAGTCTTGGGTTGCAATGTTTTACAAGTTGGGATCTGTAATGGTTAGCCTACCTTTCTGGGTGATACCCCCCTAGTTGATGGCAGACATAACTATACTCTCAAAAAGTGGAGTGTTCATGGGTCATTGCTCCCTGTGCCTCTCTGAGGGAACCAGGTTCTGACTCATGGATTCCGGTTGGCAAGAACTCCAGTAATTGATGCCCTAGACTAATATAATGAATATCTGTCTGTTAGCTTCAGGGAGCCGACAGGGTTCCCCTCAGAAAATATTAGTACTGTATGTATTTTTAAGTTAATATTTTTGGGTGTGTGGAATGGATTAATTCAATTTACATTATTTCTTATGAGAAAATTTGATTCAGAGTACGAATACTCCGTTTACGATCCGTCTCATGGAACAGATTAAATTTGTAGACCGAGGGTTTTCTGTATACAGATAAATATGGATTTTAAAAGAAATTACATATATGTATGAAAGAAGGGAGGAAGAGAGAGAGAGGAAAAATTAAATTAAATTTTACAATTATTAATTGTTTATTCAAAATGATTTCCTTCATTCCTCAACCATTTATCCTGTCAAAATCCTTTGTAACTAACTTTTATTCCTGTACAGTATTTACTTTGTTGCATACCTGCTCTTCTTCATTCATAGGTATTAAAGCCAGTGGTTCCTGAGCCTTTTCCATATAGGGATGGCCAAATGTATGTATCCCATCCGGTGGACTCTGATGCTTGTTGAAAAGTGCCAGCATTTCTTCACGACCATATCGGTGCTCTGCTGGCTGGAATTAAAATTAAAAATACAAGAAAATGCAAGCGAATTACAAATTGTGTTAACACTTTGCCTGGCCTGGCGCACGATCCCCAGCCCGCCCCTAGGTCGGCCTGGCGTTTCCCGTGAGTGCGCACCCGCACTAAAATGTGTATATTCTTTTCATTTTTATCACCTTAATTTTCATGTTACGTCGTTGATTTTGCTATCAAATTGTTCGCAATAGAATTCTCTAAAGGGATATATGCATATAAGGGCAAAAAGCCCGGCGCACTACCAACAGCAAACCAGAAAATCTGCCGAGCATTACACGTGAGCAGACACCCATCCACACACCCACAACACCTGCACTAAAATGTGTACTGTACTGTATCAGTTTTATTTTTTTACCGTTTCAGTTTTAACACCTCAATTTTCGTGTTATGGTGTTCATTTTGGTATCAATTTGTTTGCTATAGAATGCCCTACTGGGATATATGAACAAAGAGCAAATTGAAGAACAACATTACCAACAGCATAAGAATAAATTACATCGCCATGTGAAAAACCAGCTTTTCGTCATTATGTATACTCGTTATTTGTTCCCAATATTATTGGTTATACACTTTTATTCGTTGTCGTCTTGCTTTCTTCACACGTGTTTGTACCACAATATCATATGTAGAAAGTATAAATGAATAAACATGTCTGGACTTACCACCCAGTGATGTTTTGTAGAGTGTGAGTTGAGCCTTAGGTTGAACCACTCCACCTCCTCCAGGAAAATGTTTCCTGAAGTTTCTCAACTCATGTTTTATATCTGAGCGGATTGTGGGTAAGTATTACTGCTTATCCACCCAGTATGTACTTACCTAGTTGTGCTTGAGGGGGTTGAGCTCTGGCTCTGTGGTCCCACCTCTCGACGGTCAAACAACTAATGTACAGGTTCCTGAGCCTACTGGGCTCTATCATATCTACACTTGAAGCTGTGTATGGAGTCAGCCTCCACCACATCACTTCCTAATGCATTCCATTTGTCTACTACTCTAACCCTAACAAAATTCTTTCTAACATCTCTATGGCTCATTTGGGCACTCAATTTCCACCTGTGTCTCCTAGTGTGTGTGCCCCTTGTGGTAAATAGCCTGTCTTTATCTACCCTATCAATTCCCCCGAGACTCTTGTATGTGGTGATCTTGTCCCCTCTAACTCTTCTGTCTCCCAGTGACGTGAGGTTTAATTCCCGTAGTCTCTCCTTGTAGCTCATACCCCTCAGTTCGGGTACTAGTCTGGTGGCAAACCTTTGAACCTTTTCCAGTTTAGTCTTATGCTTGACTGGATATGGACTCCATGCTGGAGCTGCATACTCCAGGATTGGTCTGACATATGTGGTATACAAAGTTCCGAAAGATTCCTTACACAAGTTTCTAAAGCCCGTTCTTATGTTAGCCAACCTGGCATATGCCGCTGATATTATCCTCTTGATATGAGCTTCAGGGAACAGATCTGATGTGATATCAACCCCCAGGTCTTTCTCTCAGATTCTTGAAGGATTTCATCTCCCAAATGATACCTTGTATCTGTTCTCCGGCTCCCTACACCTATCTTCATTACATTGCATTTGCTTGGGTTAAACCCTTACAACCATTTGTTCAACCATTCCTGCAGCTTGTCCAGGTCTTCTTGAAGCCTCAAGCTGTCCTCTGTCTTAATCCTTCAAACATTGAGAGGAATGAGTCTATGCCCTCTGGGAGATAATTTACATATATCAGAAACAGGATAGGTCTGAGTACAGAGCCCTGTATGATGGTATGTCCTCTTGTGATGGTACAAGCCGGAGCATGGTGCAGCACACAGTGCCACACCACATGACTTGCACTTATACTTGGTGTCCTTCCTTTTACCAGACGTGTAGCAGACACGACACTTCAGACCTTTCTCGATGCGAACTAGGAAATGGTCCAAGCTTCTGTTGAGACGTTCAGGTTCGTCCACAGTACGAGGTCTTCTCCTAGCAACAGCACCCCTGGTTGTCTTAACCTCGTCTTCTGAGTCAGATGATTCTTCATCTCAAGGTGAAGAAGGGAAGAGTGGCCACCTCACACCCGATTGTCCGGGGACTGCAAAGTTGTCACCAGTAGATCTGCTCTCATCGTCATGTACATCACCAGCATATCTAATGTTGTCATTTTGAAGAGGCCAATTCTTATACTCAAAGTTCAACAGTGACCAAATTATTATTTTGTAGAACTGGAGCAATGAGTTTCTTTGTATTAGTTGTGAAGTACTTGTTTAACATAAAAGCATTATGGATAGCCATTTTCAGAAAGTAGATCTTGATTTTCTTCGTCCACTTGTGACATTTCCATAGGGAAATGATAATATTTGACCATTTGGTTGAAGTGATCAACACCTTTCATGTGGTTATTGTAGTCACAGATTGCCATTGGTTTGTTAACAATGACCTGTTGCAGTGAAGATATTTAGGTTTACGTACTCGTTTCCTTCGATCCACTTCTTGTTTATCTGCATTGTGGCAAGTTGTGATGACTTAAACAACTCTCTTATCTTTCCACAGGATTAAAAAGTATGGTCCTTCCATCTGAATACAGTTTTATCTACTGACAGTTTACCCTTTGCTTGTAGCTGAAGATCTTTTGGTGCACCGTGCTGCAATCTGAGAGTACCACAGGTACTAAGTTGAACCGAGTTATAGTAGTAATCCATATATAAATGGTAACCTTTGTTCTTCAGTGGTTCAATCAAACCCATAACCGTTTGAATTGTTATCTTCTCAATTCCTGCATACACTTCACGATCATAAATGTAACAAGTATGCAAGTCAGCCAGCATGTACAGCTTTCCTCCACACTTATCAGGTTTATTTGGATTATAAACCTTGAAAGCTAGATGGCCCCTCCATAACATTGTGCCGTCATCCAAACACAGCTTCTTAGCTTCTCTCTCAAACATGTTCCTTTCACTGCTTTTGTCCTGGACTGGCTCTGTTCTTGATTACTAACCATCTTGGAGTAAATGTATTGTGCATATAAAGGCACTAACAAATGTAGCCGAGGAAAAATAACCAGAATGGGTACACGTTTTTGCGCGAGGGGAGGCCGCAGCGGTCACGAGCGTCAACACAATAACAACAGGCCTACCACGTGGGTGGCAGTGCCATGATGCTACATAGGCCATCACAGAAAATGGGAAGACGTTGACGCACTTTTTAAAAGTCCCATAATGATCGGAAAAAATTGGATTTTTAACAAATATTTTAATTTGGGATGCAGTGTGTGTCTTCGCCCAGACTGAGAATATTCATACTCAGTATACTGTACTGACACAATACGAGTTATCGGCCAGGCAAAGTGTTAATTTTTTTTTTTTTTTTAAGATTTTGGCACATCCAAGATATGCTTACTTGTAAAACAAATACAGCATATGATCAGCAAAAAAATTTATGTAAATTTTGCATAATATACTGTATATGTAACTTTCATTTACAGAATTTGCATAAGTTAGTGGAATATTGCACTCCGACTCAAAACAGCATAAGGACTGTATTTGTACTGAACTCTTTCTAAACCCAAGTGTAATTATATGCAAAGTTTGCTATTTAATACCAAATGCACTTTTGCACACATTTTTATACAACAATATTTCAAAATGCAAATATTGTTAACATTTTTTATTATATTTTTTTTGTCCATCAAATGCATGTGCTCATTCCACTGGCAGTCTCATTCTTTTGTGGTGCAACAAATTGAAAAACAGTACTGTACTCATGCTCAACATTTCCACACTAATCCGGATAACATAGGGCAGATGCCCATCCAAGTTACAGATATCATACTTACCCAAAGTCTGTATGAAGTACTGTACATAAAAAAACAGCGCTGTATGTAATGAAATGCCTTTTTCTGGGTGAGACCCGGAAGCTCCCTGGAGCTATACTGGGCTGATGTGTGTATATATTAGACCATAGCAACAGTCAATCGATGGAGTTCTTGGCCTGCCAGGGACTAGTGCCAGAACCTGGCCCCCGTCAGACAGGCACGAGGAGCAATGGCCCTATAGACACTGCCCATGTAATTAGAAGCAGTCTATGTCTGCCATCTACAAGGTCAGGCATACAGAAAGGTAGGAATTCCAAAACAAACTACAGCTGGTTGTAGAGAGCTGTGGAGAGCCCCTTCAGCTCACTGGAGCTACCTAACCAAAGATAAAGGAAAAGAGGGACTACCCGGGAGGCTCCTCAACTGAAAATCGAGACAACTGGCTGCAACCTGTGACCCACGCCCGAGAAGGGGCCAGGAGCATGAACGCGGTACTGTGTGGCCAGGACCCTGTTCGACTTCCAAAAGCCTTGTGCTCAAATGTCAGCCCAAGACATATTACCAAAAACAGCAAAGCCATGAACTTACGAACATCGTAGGCACATTGATAGCCTGCAGACTGACTGGACCGAATAATCCTGAGGACAACCTACCACCAGGACCGAAAGAGCAGAAATCCCCGCACTGAAGGAGAACATGAAGCTCCTCGACCCCCAGATGTCGGAAATTTCCGACACCCCAGATATTAATCTAACTAACAATACTAACAGAAGTTCTAAAACATGCCAGGAACGATTGCGTCAGCCACCATATGTCCGCGGTGACTATTCCTTTGCCTAGCACTTGATTAAACTCCGTCCTCAATCTGCTTTCATCTGAGCATAATTATCTTAGATAGAGTTTAAGTAATGTTTATAGTAATCAAGAAGAATAAATTCATACATAAATTAACATTTACCTCCTTTCATTGGTAAATTTGCACCAAAAAATAATTATCGGCTGATGAGAGGCGGGAGCACCGCGCCATGCGACAACAGTGGCTGAGCACTAGGCGAGAGGCGGTTTCATCACCGGGCTCGCCATATAGATGCCATACGTGTATTTGTGCTTACAGCCGCAGAATTGTCTCATTCGGAGGTGCAAATTGTGCAGCAGAATCGTGCCGTTGAACGGATATCACATATCAAGCTGT